GGGGGGGGGGGGTAAACCGACAGCATTACCGCAGGTCGTAGAATGCGTCAAGAGACGAGGATAAGCTACGCACCGCCGCACAACAAAATTAAAGGGAGGCGAGGTACGTGCAAACATCAGAGGTCGCCAACGGACACGCTGGGATGAGGAAGGGTGTACATTAATGGGCGCCGCGGGCATAACGGATGCACGACAAGAAACACGCCAGCATCCAACTTCATCGCAGGCAGAGAGAAATAGGCAGAAAGGGAGGCAGCACGATTATTGGAAAGGACACGACCCATGACACACCTTGTCAACACGGTTTACATGTCCGCCAAGGCTTTGTAGCCAGGGTGGTCATCAGGACCATCGCTTTTCTCGCTCGGAGACGAAGAACATCCCCGTCTCCATCTTAAGTTTACCCTCCACCCCCATCCGCCCCTAGGTCACCTCCTCCACCTCCTGCCCCCTTGTCCGCGAACAAGCACGGCTTGAGGTAGCGCTTAGCGTCGTCCTGACGATCAACACTCTCGGTGGAGAGGATCGGTCCAACGTACTCCAAGCTGAACCGCATGAAGCTCTCCTAGAACCTGATACACGAAACAAAGAACAAAGAGCGTTCCATGTGAATGTCAGTTTGTTTGACGTCACGGGGTCATGCACAAACAGCTTGCGACAAACTACCAGCGCGTCGACTGCGTAGGAGCAACGCCAGGGCAGACTGAAAATATGGAAAAATAATTAATAACGCTGGAAACGCGTCAGGAACAAAACAAACGAGGGTGTTGGACGTTCACCAGAGCTTGAACGTCCAATGAGAGCTTATCGGCCTGACAAATTGTTGACAGTACACCAGGGGAGACAGGATTTGAAGAATACGCTGAAGACAACAAAACCCCTCAGCCCCACAGAGCTTGGTTCACATATCGAAACAAAAGCAACGTACATGTCGCTGATGGCGTCCAAGTTTTTTCACCGCCACCGCCCTTCGCAGCAAACGGCTGTTCGGAAAAAGCCTCGCACACGGGAAAGGTACGGTAACACCATCGTGGTCGGGGTCGCTCCTGTTGCCGAAGTGTAGCCTGGAGTGCCCATCTTCGTCTTGATCTCCGTGAGGACGTACTGTTCGAGCACCTTCGAACGATACCAATCCATACCGTGAGAGTGGGGGGAATGGTGCTTAGCGGGCAAGGGGCTGGATAGATGGATACACCATAGCAAGGGTGACAGTAGATGGCCTGGAATTTGCGCCGGAAACAGCAAGCAGGGGGGCGAACAGGACACCAGCAGCAGCTATCCTCGCTGTAAAGTCGCACTTGGGGATTAAAAACTTCAAGCGTCATTACCACAGGGAAGCGGCGTTAACATTTCAAGGACAATAACTCTTCGTCCCCGGCGCTGTTGCTTGGCATCATGAGATGTTGGCTAATTGCACCTTGCACCGCCCTTCTGTCTCGCACTACATTTTCAGTCTAACGCTACAACATGCGAGACCCTCAAACCAACAGCAGTACCGGCGCGCGTGCGTCAAAATTATCTACTCCTTCCACAAGCAATGCATCGCGAAGAATAGTTGCCTGCACGTCTCCTTGTTCCTTCCCTCCATTGAAGCATATGCTTCGGTTGAGTCTCATAAATGAATATGCTTTGGTTGAGTCTCATAAATGAACGAATGAGCAGCTCTCGAAAGAAGGTATTCCATCGTTCCTTCCGTTCACATTCAAATAGGGGCGAATTTACTCAAAACGTGCCTGGAGCTATGCACGACTCTGACAGCAGGTGCGGTAACCTTCATCGGTTCTCGGTGGACAGAGGTGTCGGGGTAGGGACATGACCTTTCCATCATATTTTGTTTTTCAAGTCACTGGACACCATTTCTGAAAAAAATCTCGCATTTTCCGCGGAGAGTTCACTTAGCCCGACCGTACCTGACGTATGGGGTGGTGCGCTTGCATCGGTGGACCTGGTCGAAGGTCACGCTCTGCATGNGGGGGGGGGGGGGGGGGGGGGGGGGGGGGGGGGGGGGGGGGGGGGGGGGGTGAGACGCAATGTATGAAGACGCACATACATATCCCTCCGCTCAGCTATGCATACTACTGGTGCCCTCTTCATGTCGCATGAATGGCGCGGCGTGGGGGGACCCACTGCGACCGTCTTTTCTCGGTTGTTGTTGTTGTTGTCTTTACATCGAAAGAAAAACTTTCCGTTCTCTGACACGCCTTGTTTCTCAGGGGTTCACTCGAAGTATTTTATATTTTACGGCTAATCATGTTTTGAAAGGGGTACAACGAATTTCCAGAGAGAAAAGAACGAGCAAAAAAGGGTGGTGGGAAGAAAAAATATGGCGCAGAGGAGAATCGAATCCACTCATCTCACAGCACCAAGATACCACGCCCCGTGGACCGAGTTCCAAAGCCTGATTATTCCACAACAGAAGGAGTGGCGAGGCCGGAAATGGCGGCATTGGAACTGTCTCGTCGAGAACTTTTCGAAAATGTATCGTTTGATTTTCGCAATCGTCTTCGTCGTGGAACAATTCAGGTTGAGACTTGGTCAAGGGGATGTAGTATCTTGTGCAACCTACGGTTTCCGTTGATTCTTTCTTGCAGCACGATATATCTTGCATACGTGTGAACGACCTGTGTCAATCGAGCAACCCATCTAAAACAATTGGGTGTGGTGAGGGCTGGGCGTTGGTTGAAGCATTTGGACGGTCGACGCGGTCGATGCCATGCATGTTTGTGGACAGGTCAGAGCAGACATGCGGGGTTGTTACCGAATGTTGTTACTGCTGTTGAAAGAATAATGTGCGCCCCCCCCAAAAAACAAAAAAAAACGTTGAAAATAACGAAGTGCCTACCCGCCCTCTAAAAAGCTCCGTTATGAGGCTGGGCGCTCATTGACGCCTCCGGGAGAATCCCCGCTCTGGACATGGTGAGGAAGAGCACGCAGTAGGCCGAGAGCCGTTGGGTGTGCGGGACCAACTGCTGGGGTCTGAGCGTACATGCATCTACAGCACGTGGAGAGTTTGACCCTTTCCCAACGGGGACATATGCGTAGGGGTACACAACTACACAACACACAATGTTCCCTCAATTCATCCTTCTTTCGCTACCATCCAGATATAACTGGAGGGGAATCGCTTACCTAAGCAGCAACTGCTGCCGGAATGTCGCTCACTCTTCTCCACGCGCGCCGTGTAGAAGCTCGTCTTGCCGTTCTACAGCAGCAGTGTCGTGCGGCGGGTTTAGCTCGCGGCGGTTGCTGTGCCCCAAGTCCAAGCATCTACAGATAGTATAGCTGCTTGCCTTGGTTACGAAAGGAATGTCACCAGCCTGGTCGCTATTCGTCTTGGCATGCTGCGGCCTCTGGTCGCCTGTGTCAAAGCTAGCTAGCTCGTCACACAAGGGCGACGCAGGGCCAAGCAAAGCCATGCATATTTCAGCATATTTCTGCAGGGGGCTCGCTGGTTCGGATGCACCCCCCCTTCCCATCTGTCTGGCGGGATTCATAACGGGGGTCTGAGATGGAGAGCTTCGTTGTACCCTGTAGTGGTACACACATAGCACTCGTGAATCCCCGTACACACTCACACACAATCCTAAATTGAGTAGTGTATGCGTTCATTTAGCATGCATTGTGCCAACGTATCTTGGGCTCGTATATCTACATACTTGGCTTGGAGACGAATTTGTTGGGTTTTTGTTCAGCCGGAAAGAAAATAAATTCAAGTCTAGACAAGTCCAGGACCGTCGAACCGACACAATCTTCCAGCCAGGGGGTCTGGCCTTCGGTTGTGACCGCCTCCCCACCTGTATCATCGGTGCTTTCACAACCAGGAGGTCTGGCCTAAGGTTGTGGCTGCCCCCCAACCTGTATCATCGGAGCTTGCACAACTAAGAGGTGTGACCTAAGGTTATGGATGCCCCCTAACCCGTGTGATCTGTGCTTGCACAACCAAGAGGTGTGGCCTAACGTTGTGGCTGCCTCCCAACTTTCCGCATCCGTCCTTGTACAACCACGCCGTTTGGTCAAGGTTGGGGCCTCCTCCCAACCCCCCTCTACAACCTCCCCCCTACCTTGTGGATGCCCACAACCCATCCACAATCTGCCCTCTGGCCACCCGCGTGCCTTCCCCCGAAAGAAGCTTCGCAAAAAGCTGACCACTCCGTCCGCCCCCATGATTCGCTTGCCAAAGCTCTCCCTCCTCGTCATGGCGTTCTTTGCCACTCCGCCGATCTCATCATAGCAACCTTCGAAGTGATGTGTGGCCGCGAAGTGGTGGCCGATGAAGAAGCCAGCCGATTTGCCGCACGAGGTCGGCCAAGAAGCGGAAATTCCGCCTTCCCTAGTACTGCTTCCCGCATCATTCCGTGAACATGTGAATCCGGGGCGTCCGGCATTATTTCCGGGCGGCAGCTGTTGCTTCGCTCCCATCTCCACGCAGGTAGTAATCTGCCATCCTGGCCAAGCCGTGCAGGTAGAAATTGCAGTCATGCGCCATGTCTTCAGATGCAAAGATGATCCATATTTCCGTCACGGGCACCCTGCCACCCCCCACATGCGTCTGCGGGTTGGATGTGCACAATGGCGACCATGAGCGTTGTCTGCGGGTAAACCGGCATCATCATGCTGATGAAGGATTGGTGAGTGTACTTCTCGGCAAAATCACTCTCGATGACAACAAGGTCACCGTCCTGAAACGTCTCCAAGCAACGCCCGTGGCAGTGCCTTTGCCACTTGGCGATAGAGTGGTGAGCCATGTACAGCTTGGTGTGCCCTTTGAACGCCGACCAAAGATCGCAGAGCTTATCCTCCTTCGGCACGGTCTGGTTGGCGAGTTTCTTGGCCTTGATCTTCCCATCTCCTGATGCAGGCGCAGTGATCACGTCCTCGAACATCTTCCACACCACCGTCTGCTCGGAGTTCTCTAGCTTGCTGTAGATGGAAATACCGCCAGCCCCCCCGAACCCACACTTCGCGCAGTCCAAAGCGTTTCCGCCCCATCCAGCCGTCACCCTCCGGGTCCGCTGCCCGCAAGTTGGCCTTGGGGCAGGCCATCGCATGGGAGAATGTGCCCAAGTGCTTCCACGTTTTCCGCCACCTGCTGCCGCCATCTGCGTTGCACCATAGACACCGGCATTCCCCGTGGCTGGTCATGTCGACATGGCCAGGGCCTCGATATATAGCACCTGCTGCGAGTGGATCTTGCACGCGCACTGCTCCATGTCAGGGAGGACCAGGCACTTGCACCGCGTCGAGAAGAAGATCGTGCGGCCAAGGTCAATGAAGTCGTCGCTATGTCGCACCTAAAAGCTCTTGTAAGACGCCCAGTTGAGAAATTTGGCGTACACCGCGTCGCCCCCGCCCGGCTCGGTGAGCTGCCGCCGAGGGTGGCGGTGAGTTGTAGGAGACTTACTCGCCTACCACATGTCGCGCTCAGCTGAGTCGCCATGCTGGCGTGACACCTCGTCCGAGTGCCAGTAATGCCTCATCAACTCCAGCAGCTCTTCGCTGGCGGCATTGCTTTGCTTCACACGGGGCCAAAACCAGAAGACACCGCGTTTTATCGCCTCCGTTGGATGAAGATCGAACAGCAAATAAATTCTTGGCACGCTCCATCGCGGAGTTGAAGGTGTGCTCGCCAAACCCCAGCGCCTTTGCCCTACGTACTGCCGATAACGATGGAACCTCGTCTACGCCGTCCCCAGGAAAGGCCGCAGCGGTGACGATCGTTTGTAACGTGCGGCTTCCCTCCTTTTTACGTTGCTTTTGCGCCTGCTCGATTGCTCGCTCCAACGAGACTGCTGTTGTGCTGACCTTGTCTTCCAACTCTCGCAAGCGTTTACGCGTGTCCTTCCGAAACGTCGAGCCGATTTCTTCCAAGTGTTTAAGCGCGTTGTCATACCCCACGCTGTCCATGGACGGGAGAAACGTTTCCGTAGACTGCTGGCGCCAGTCGACCGGCGCCGTCTGTGTGCACACATGACGAACGAGGAGGCGGGGGGTGCGACGTTGCGCAACGCAATAATACTTAACCCTTTGGAGTCTACAGGTCTTCTTACAGACCATTGGTTGATCATTTTTTCCATAACTGTTTTTTTACTAGCGCCGAACAGACGGTCTAGTCGTATAGGGGAGGATAGGACAGAAGCCCCGAACCATATGCAAAGTAGTAGGGCACACCAGGGTAGAGCGCCCCCGCCCCACCAACACACACAGCTGCAAACACACGGAGCATCCACCAGAGGTGCGCCGAGAGGTCATGAGGAGGCCTCAACGCCCCGCGTGGTCTGCCCTGTCTATCTGGGCGGCGTTGTTAGTAGCGCTTGCGGTAGCGCTGCCGGAAGCGCCAGTTGCCATTCCTGCTCGAACATCGCCTTTGGCCGTCTCCCTCCGGCAGCCACCCACACTTGCTGTGGACGCGGCCACTGAGGACAGCGAGCTTGGCATGGAGGTCAGGAGATATGCAATAGACCCAAGCGTGCCGACTGATGATGAGGATGACTGTGAGTTTGATATGGGCGCATCGTACTAACTGATATATGCTGCGAACTCGCATAAAGCTGGTCACAATACCCGAGGAGCAGCTCGGCAGCTACGACAACAATAACAGGCGCCGGCGNACACACGGAGCATCCACCAGAGGTGCGCCGAGAGGTCATGAGGAGGCCTCAACGCCCCGCGTGGTCTGCCCTGTCTATCTGGGCGGCGTTGTTAGTAGCGCTTGCGGTAGCGCTGCCGGAAGCGCCAGTTGCCATTCCTGCTCGAACATCGCCTTTGGCCGTCTCCCTCCGGCAGCCACCCACACTTGCTGTGGACGCGGCCACTGAGGACAGCGAGCTTGGCATGGAGGTCAGGAGATATGCAATAGACCCAAGCGTGCCGACTGATGATGAGGATGACTGTGAGTTTGATATGGGCGCATCGTACTAACTGATATATGCTGCGAACTCGCATAAAGCTGGTCACAATACCCGAGGAGCAGCTCGGCAGCTACGACAACAATAACAGGCGCCGGCGTCACCGGTCACGCCGTCGCTCCGGACGACTTTGCTCGGGCCGCAACAGCGGCAGCGGCAACAGCAGCAGCAGCAGCAACCATCTCCGCCGGAGTGCTTGGATCTAGGAAGCGTACAGAACTCGCATGACGCTGGTCACAACACCCGCGGCGTAGGTGGGCAACAGCGGCAACAACAGGGGACCCCGGAGCTACGGGTCACGGACCGGCTCCCTACGACCTCGCGCGAGGCGCAACAGCAGCAGCAGCAGCAGCAGCAATTATCCCCACCGGATTTTTCTCCGGAGAACCCGGCTGTATGTGTCGCTTTCATTAGCCGCGGCGCACGACGTGGCGAAAAGTGCGGCAACAAGGTTGGAGGTAGGACGGCAGGGTTTTGCAAGCATCATGACGGCCTACGGAAACGCCGAAAGACGGCGTCAGGTGCAGCTCTTGGAGTGGGGGGCAGCGTCGAGGCAGGCAACTAGGACTCGGAGTCGGAGTTGGGTGGTGGCATGGACGAATTGCAGACTCCTGGCGCGCGTTCTTCCATAGCGAAGTCCAAGGAACTGCACTACGCGCAGACCTCCAAGATCGAGGATGAGGGCTTCCGGAGAGCGCAGGAGAGTGTGTGGCACCTCAAGCGGATCAAGCTCCCAAAACCAAAGGTGCGCAACATAGTAGTGCTTAGCCTACCTTCTCGCGCTGGCGTGCTTTCCCTTACAACGTATTCCTACGTGATAAAACACCATGAACTACACAACGGCGCGCTTTCATTTCCTTCGATAACCTACACCATTGTACAAATGTTATTTTGTATTTTTCCTCTTTGAGCAGCATCGACCGCTTTTCTGCTGTAGACGCATGACTAATGCCAAATGCGTGTGTCGCTCATTGCCGTAGGCGATACTGCGATAAGTTTGTACCATTTTGCCGTGTGTTGTTCGGTGCTATTGTGCGAGCCTGTTGTAATTTCGAGTGTATTATTGGGTTGCCCTCGAATTATTCCTGGTGGATGTTGTTGGTCTTTTCCAGGCTGGTGAACCACCCCCCTCTCCCATCCCGGACGATCCGAAGGGGTGGGGGTTCGAGGGACTACCCCGTGACGAGTCATCCGACCCGTGCAAGAGGCGGCACAAAATCCCCGGCGGCGACACGTTCAGCCTATCGGACCAGCTGAAACCGAGTCTATCGAAGGCCGACAAACAAGGGCTAGCTGTATTGCGTTCTTTCGTCAGCGAGAAGGGTGGGGGTCTCCCCTTTATGTTCTTTGAGAAGACTTTCCCGATGGAGGCGCAGGACGTCGTCCTGAGGGAGGTGAGGAAAAAGAAGGTCGCGTTTTGTACCTTTCAGCAATATTTTGCGAGTTAGGGCGACCCCCCCCCGGTGTTTGCCATCGGGGTTGGGTTTTCGTCGCTTGGCAACGACGTTGTAAAACAAGCC